ATAAGGCGAAGGCATCTTCCAAAGGGGATGGCAAAGGCGGAGCGGTGATAAAGAGGGCTCATCAGCTGGCTATGCACCCCTAGTGGATGTAGGTGTCACAACCCAATCTGTTTAGATCCACAGACGGAATAAGTCCTATAGTGTTGCCTTACGATAGACCAACCTAACATCAGAGTTTTGGGGAAACTTTTCAGATTTTCTTCTTTTAATTAAACTTAAAATAAACAACAGACTATGGAACTGCTAATAACTTCTAGTATATAGAAAATAAGCCATCCACAATTTTTTTTCCATTTCTCATCAAAAGGCCTACACAACATCTACACTATAATATATAGCTATAGACTAAAATGTAGAATCATTGAACAAAAAAACTAACATTTTGGTAAAATGAATATTTGAATTTGTGTCAATTATACACATTTAGAGTATAAGATTAATGTATTTTCATTACTTGAAATTCTAGAGTATAAAATAGAAAAAGGCCAAATATAGCAACATCTATTGAATATAAGATGCTTACACCTGAAGTTATGTGCTTTAAACATGTCTAAGATGGGAAAAATATAACAATAAAATACTGAACAGAAGAAAATAAGGAGATAATATATATATAGTATAAACTCACTTGTGTTTGCGTTCACTTTTGGATAGTTCAATCCAATTCTACTAACAATCTTCTAGAAATCAAGTTTGATACCATCCTAAATGGATGACATCAAGAAAGTTTCAAATAATATTAAATAACAAAACACATCCATAAGATTAACTAGACATATTGAAATCATCAATTGCTATTCAAAATGTTTTGATCATTAACAAATATTGATGCGCTGTTGACATAACAATTGTAGAAAAAAAGCCTTAGATTTTGGTGATCCCAAAAATATATCAAGATAATTTCAAAGTAACAGGGATATTTACACAACTATAAATACATCCATGAAATTTAAAAGATTTTAAGGATAAAAAATTGAATTAAGTTGGTGAGTTCAACAACAATATTGATGCATTCAAATTGAAATTAAAACAAAGTAACATCTATCCAATCACTGTTAATCTGTATTGTTAATTAAAAAAATAAAACCAATATGTTAAATTCACTGATAAGGCCAGGAATAGGAGACTCTCTGAGTGGCCATAGATGGCCTTCCATCTCTGGTTGCCAAGAAATAATAGAAGTAAACAGGAATAATCACATAAATGAAAAATTGGCTGTCTAACGGAGTTGCCATATCTACCACCACAAAGAGGTTATGAAATGTATCAAATCATTACAATCCTACTAGGGGCTAAAATCCGAAGATATCCAAGGAAGGAGAAAAGAAAAAATAACTGCATAAAGCAAAAAATGGACTGATTGGAGTAACTTGAAATAGCATATTGACAATAAGAATATCTGGTAGCAATACAATTTGCAAAAAAGGAATCAAAACACTATGCTGAACGAGAAAATTGGCAAAGAAATTCTACACAAAACACCTCTTGCTCAAATGATTTAAGCAGGTGGCATGCTCCCTTCACAACTTCCGATCCGATTGGGAAAACTTTGTACAAGGAAAAAGTGAAGAAGCTCATTTAGAGACTCTTTTAAAACTCTTCTTCACATGAAGCTGAGGAAGAACGAAGAAGGCGAGGGCTTGTTTAGCAACTCTTTCAAAACTCTCCACGGAAGCCATATGAATTGCTTACCTCCAATTTATGCCTCCACACATTAAATTGTGCCACTTATTGGAATGTAAATGTTATATTATTTATGTTTGTCAACTTCGCTTATGGATGGGGGTCTATAGAGGACATGAGTGCTAAGATGGTTAGTAGAGGAAGCGTTCATAGCACTATAAGAAAAAAATATTCCTTAGTTGAATTGAGCTATGCGAACATCCACGAGCTTTTGGCACCCTTCCTAGGATATTGATTCCATTCAAGTGAGTATTGTGGAGGCACATCTCATAGATATTAATTCAAACAAAAATTATACAACCATAAATATACTCATCTACGTAAGATAACATAGATAAATTTTGATATTTTAAAAGAGAGATTTCAATTGCCAACTTATATACGATAGTTTTATCATGTTGTCCAAACAAATATCATGCTTGCTTGTGTAATTTGACATATGGAAAACATGCTTTAGGTATGCATTGATTAAATAACTTAAAATACAATAAATCATATTTAAAATTAATTTATTATCTGATCATTCCTAAACAAAATTTTAAAATATATAAAAAATATTTTAATTAAAAATAATATTACAGTAATAAATACTATTATTTAGAAAAAGTTTTGTAAGATGGTGACCATTAAAAGAGAAATATAAAATTAAGTATTACAGAGATGATAGACAAGTAATTTTATACTTAGTGATAAATACGAAATAAATATATATGTAAAAAAAGTTGGAGTAGTTCTAATGATAAATAAAATTAAAGAGAGCCTCTTTAGATGATTTGGTCACAAAAAACTAACATTTTGGTAAAATGAATATTTGAATTTGTGTCAATTATACACATTTAGAGTATAAGATTAATGTATTTTCATTACTTGAAATTCTAGAGTATAAAATAGAAAAAGGCCAAATATAGTAATATCTATTAAATATAAGATGCTTACACATGAACTTATGTGCTTTAAACGTGTTTAAGATGGGACAAATATAACAATAAAAAACTGAATATAAGAAAATAAGGAGATAAAATATATATAGTATAAACTCACTTGTGTTTGCGTTCACTTTTGGACAGTTCAATCAAATACTCACTAACAATCTTCTAAAAATCAAGTTTGATATCATCCTAAATGGATGACATCAAGAAAGCTTCAAATAATATTAATTAACAAAACACATTCATAAGATTAACTTGACACATTGAAATCATCAATTGCTATTCAAAATTTTTTGATCATTAACAAGTATTGATGCGTTGCTGACATAACAGTTGTAGAAAAAAAGCCTTAGATTTTGATGAGCCCAAAACATATAAATATAATTTCTAAGTAACAAGGATATTTACACAACTATAAATACATCCATGAAAGTTAAAAGATTTTAAGGATAAAAAATTGAATTAAGTTGGTGAGTTCAACAACAATATTGATGCAGTCAAATTGAAATTAAAACAAAGCAACCTCTATCCAATTACTGTTAATCTGTATTGTTAATTAAAAAAATAAAACCAATATGTTAAATTCACTCATAAGATCAGGAATAGGAGACTCTCTGAGCGGCCATAGATGGCCTTCCATCTCTGGTTGCCAAGAAACAATAGAAGTAAACAGGAATAATCATCAGAAATAAAAAATTGGCCGTCTAACGGAGTTTCCATAACTACCACCACAAAGAGGCGCTGAAATGTAGCAAATCATTACAATCCTACTAGTGGGCTAAAAATCGAAGAGATCCAAGGAAGGAGAAAAGAAAAAATAACTGCATAAAGCAAAAAATGGTCTGATAGGAGTAACTTGAAATAGCATATTGACAATAAGAAGATCTGGTACCAATACAATTTGCAAAAAAGGAATCAAAACACTGTGCTGAACGAGAAAATTGACAAAGAAATTCTACACAAAACACCTCTTGCCCAAATGATTTAAGCAGGTGGCATGCTCCCTTCACAACTTTCGATCCGATTGGGAAAACTTCGTACAAGGAAAAAGTGAAGAAGCTCCTTTAGAGACTCTTTTAAAACTCTTCTTCACACGAAGCTGAGGAAGAACGAAGAAGGCGAGGGCTAGTTTAGCAACTCTTTCAAAACTCTCCACGGAAGCCATATGAATTGCTTACCTCCAATTTATACCTCCACACATTAAATCGTGCCACTTCCACCGCCAATAATGGTAAACATAACACAATAGAGGTCAATATAAAATTGCAAAATAAATACTAAAATATAAAGGTGTTCACTTACTGGAATGTAAATGTTATAGCCTTGTATTTTATTTCTATTTGTCAACTTCGGTTATGGATGGGGGTCTATAGAGGACATGAGTGCTAAGATGATTAGTAGAGGAAAAAAAAAATGAGTAGAGGAAGCGTTCATAGCACCATAAGAAAAAAATATTCCTTGGTTGAATTGAGCTATGCGAACATCCACGAGCTTTTGGCACCCTTCCTAGGATGTTGATTCCATTCAAGTGAGTATTCTGGAGGCACATCTCATAGATATTAATTCAAACAAAAATTATACAACCATAAATATACTCATCTACGCAAGATAATAGAGATAATTTTTGATATTTTAAAAGAGAGATTTCAATTGCCAACTTATATACGATAGTTTTCTTGTTGTCCAAACAAATATCATGCTTGCTTGTGTAATTTGACATATGGAAAACATGCTTTAGGTATGCATTGATTAAACAACTTAAAATCTGATAAATCATATTTAAAATTAATTTATTATATGATCATTCCTAAACAAAATTTTAAAATATATAACAAATATTTTAATTAAAAATAATATTACAGTAATCAATACTATCATTTAGAAAAAAATTTGTAAGATGGTGACCATTAAAAGAGAAATATAAAATTAAGTATTACAGAGATGATAGACAAGTAATTTTATACTTAATGATAAATACGAAATAAATATATATGTAAAAAAGTTGGAATAGTTCTAATGATAAATAAAATTAAAGAGAGCCTCTTTAGATGATTTGGTCACATAAAATATTAGCTTTTGATGATCATATTATAAGATTAGGCAGATCAGATTGACCTATATTAAAAAAAATGGATCTAAAAAGGCTTAATTAGAAAGTATTTTTTGAACATTAAATTAGAAAGTATTAAAAATAATTTTTTTATTTGATTTCATCTTACTTAGGGTGATAGAAATTTGTTATTATTATTTATGATAGTAATCAATTCATAATTTAAAATATTTTTTAATAAGTTGTATATTTAATTAAAAAGTTTTAATATAATCAATAAATTACTTCTGTCCACTTTCTTTCCTCTCTTTGCTTGACAGCGCAGCATTTCTCTTCAATAGGAAGCAGGAAAGCTCCAAGCTCCAAGTTCCCAAACCTCATCCCATTGATTGCATAAAAAAAGACGAAAGAAGGCAGAGGAGGCGATGGATCACGCGAGATCTCACTCTACATCGAGAAAGCTTTCTGAGGGGTCAGTTCCGATTCCATGGCGCTGCAACTGTTTCCTCAGTTCTCCACCTTCGTCTTTTCTCCACTCTCTTCAACTTCTCTGCAACGGAGTAAAGGCGGGCCCGAAAACATCTTCTCCAATTTGAATGCTTTGTTGGCTTGGAAGGATGATCGGCCGCTGAGGAGGCGGGCCCACTTGATGGTGGTGATGTCCGCATCTGATTCAGCAGTTTACAAGATGAATCTGAATGAGTACATGGTGACGCTTGAGAGGCCGCTCGGGATTCGGTTCGCGCTCTCACTCGACGGCAAAATCTTCGTCCACTCGCTTAGGAAAGGGGTACTGTCATGCATGTCCGCCTTTCTGCATTTTCCAGCAAGAGTTCTTTCATTAGGTTTTGCTGTTTTAATAGTTCGTTTTGTAGTATCAGTTTATTATTTTATAACATAGCAATGCTTCTTTCAGTTTTCTGGGATGGTATGGTAACGAATCTGTTTCTGTTGTCCATACGCATTTCATATTAAGACGAGCAAAATTCTTTTAACAAGAGTTAACAAAATAAAATAAAAAAATCTCATTCAATCTTTTTAGTCTTAATAGTTTTTGAACGCAAAGATCCCGGAGATTCAGAAACAGTTCCATGGACTAAAACAATCATTGTCTAGACCTAAAAGTGAGACTTTTGGCTAAAAAACTAAAATTTGCTCATCTTCAGAGGCTTAATTTGCTCTCTAATGATTTCCTCTTGAGTTTTTTGTATTGCGTCAAAAAAAAAAAAAAAAAAGTCCGAAGAAGTCTACATACCGTTGGATGGATGCCACATGACATCCGTCAAAATTCAGTGGTGCAAAAAATACTTTTTTTCGGCTATGAGTCGGACAGCAAACCATTGTTCCATTTCTATTGATATTGATCTAGTCGTTTTATGAGCAGAGATTTACAACTGGGTGTGGGGAAGAAGATGATATCATGCAAGCTTAGTTTGTTGACCTGTTATCAATTCTATCCCTATGTGTTGTGCTTTTAATTTGTCATATTTCTTCTTCATTTGTCCTTTAGATAAAGTAATTGGTTACATATGTCCTCTGTGTGACAATCTATCACAATTGTGGTATTTATTTTGTATTTGCAGATTCATATATTTTAAGGTAAGTACCATGATCATTTATGTTTTTGAGGTTTCTTTTATGTTAGATAACTTCATGAATATAATGGCTTATCTTGAAAAGTTTTTTAATGATCTAGCTTTCTAGCTGAAATAGATTTTGAAAGTTCTTATTGGAGCAGTACTTAAAGATACTCAAGTGTAGTGTTATAAACGTCCTACTAAAATGCAAACTCCTTTTTTTTTTTCTTCATTCAGTTTGTTTTTTCAGTCTAAAGTTTATTTCAAGGTGGTGATTGAATTGATTTTCCCACTTGATATTATGAAGGGAAATGCTGAAAGGTCTAAAATAATCATGGTGGGCGATACATTAAAGAAGGCAAGTGATGCACCAGGTGGTGGATTCAATGACATCAAGGATTTAAGTGATGCAGAGTATTGAATTTTATCTTTTATTCAATGTGGAATTAAAATGGTTTCTTGAGTGCTCTAAAAATTTCTCATTTCATGCCTACTCACTCAAGGAAAATATGTTAATATGAGAAAAGTGTTACTAAACATGTGCAGTTTGTTTAGACTTATTACATGAATGCATCTCTAGTTATGTAGTATAGCAAATATGTTGGTGACATTTAATGGTTCATGATATCATCTTAAAATGTGAATTAGAAGGAGATACATTTTTTTTTTGATGTGATAAGCTGTAAAAGAAAATCAACAATCAATAATTTGTTAAGCTAGAATTGTTTTAGATCTAGTTATTTTGCAATTCAAATCCATCAGTAGTAGGTCAGTAACATACTCGAAAAGAAATTTATGGTTCAACATTCATGTGAACTCAAAATCCTTAACTAGTAATATCATTAACAAGTATTTGAGTAACCCATTACCGCTTGAGTTTGGCATGGGAAAGCATTCTTAAGATTCTCAATTTATTGAAGGGCTTGAAAATGGTTTTCATTTTTTTAATAAGATCTCTTGTAACATTCAAAATATTAGAGTCAAATTTGGAAAGATGTTTGGGTCTGTGATCTTTCCTTGCCAAGCTTTGTCCTCATCTCTTCAAGTTGGCCTGAAATCCAAATTATTTAGTTAAATTCCAATATGTATGTTCTTCAAATTGGCATCTTCACTGGAAATGAGTCACTCCTTTTCATCTATCCAATGATATTTCTAACCTTGTTTATGTGTTGAACTAGATAAGCTTGATCTCAAACTTTGACTCCCTGAAGTGGATGGTGTCTCTTTTATTTTTTTGGTCAACCCATTCTATTCTTTCCAAATGCATGAAGGTACTCTTTCATCTTATAATTGAATGTGGAAGGTGAGAATAGCTTTTTTTATTGTCCTTTTTTGGCAAAAATTCCAAGCCAAACTTATCTTTCACATTTGGAGGAGACTTCTCTCTCTCTTGGAGTTTCTAATGGCCCTTTATCTCTAGACTCTTCAGTTTCTTCCTGTAGAAATCTTTATTTCAAATATATTAAGTGAGACATTTGAGATATATTCATGCTCTCGACTCTTTGGAACACTTGGAGGAAAAGGAATAATACATACTTCTCTATTGCTATCAAGGATGATAAACTGTGATGCACATACATGGACACGGCGACACGACACGAATGGGATATGTCAATTATTGAAAATTTAGGACACGAACTCGGTATTATAGTTTTTATATTTTAAAAATAGTGTATAAAAATTGAATAAGTATAATTTTAAAAATAATTTAGAAATAATAAGTCATTTAACTAGAATATCTGCTAAAAATGATTAATATTAGGATATTGAGAGTCGGGCGTCTATGCAATTTATCAGTCATCGAGAGAGGAGATGACAATGCTGTCAAGAGTCGAGAATAATGTTATGCAATAAATATTGAGCATCAATATTAAAAGTGTGTTTATTATCGATGTTGAGAGGGTGATTGATTTATTGTTGTGGATTTTTTTTTTTGTTTTTTTTTTGTTTTTTTTTATTGTTGTGGATAAGAAATAAGAAATTTAATTTTTATATTTTAAATAAGTAAAAATTTTAAATACATGAAATTATATTTTAAAAAATTCATAAAATATTTAAGATACGAATGTCGGATACGCGTGTCCAATTTGTATTTAATATTTTTTTAATTGGACACGTTTTCGGTGTGTCTGACACGTGTCGGAGGAGTCTCGGACGCTTGTTGTGTCGGATAAGGTGGCGGACACTGCACGCCTCTTTGAAAAGAAGTGTCAGTGCATCATAGATGCTAAATCAATCTGTTTCAATATGCTATCTCAAGCTTTCTTTTGGATGGACTCTAGTCATGAAATAAGACATCATATTTTAACGAAGAGGAGGGATTTAAAATTCTATAATTTTTAAGATGGAATGTATGCTTATATTTTGTATTAGATTTTGTTGTGTATAAACACATTTAGTTATTGAAAGGGATCAACTAATAGACATAGCTTGATCTACAACTTCAAATAAAAAGGTTTAGATTTAATTTTAGTGAATTCACGTTTTATGCAAGCAGAATAGTCTACAAAATTCCTTGTTAAGAGGCTGTTTGGTTGAATGTTTTTAAAATGCATGTATTTTTAAAAATATGAGGTGTTACAATTGGTTGGAATAAAACGCATTGAAATGTTTTCTTTTGTTTGTTATGATACATTTAAAGTGCATTGAAATTAACATATTTTGGGCGGATTCCAAAATCATCAAAAACACAAGTGTCTTCTTGTGTTATTTACGACGGTTGATAATGGGCAGTGACGACAACGGCGGGTAGGGAAGGTGAAATTGTGGGGTTTGAGTTTTCTTTGCATTTGAAATTCACGTATTTTGGGTCGATTCCAAACTTGTCAAAAAATGTATTCTGGGGTATTTCAAATCTCCTACACAACGGCTTTGTATGTGGTTTATTTTAACCCAAACATAAAAAATCAAAACTTCTATATATATATATATATATATATATTACTTTACAGTCATATCATAATACTTGCAACCAGATTATCCCTTAAGTCACTTTATGGTTTGTTAATTTCAATTACACTTCGGAGTTTAATTGTCTGCTAGGAAAAAAAATTTGCAAATGTACATTGCAAAGACCATATTAGAACTTATTTATGATATTTATGCTTTTTTTAATCTATTCACCTTGTGACCTAGTTGCTCTCTTTTCCTAAGGAAAATGCTCATGAGTGTTGGGGCATCACAAAGCTTGGTACTTGAAAGACCATTTTCGCCCTATCCAGTCCAGCAATTAAATTTGAATAGTGATTGGCACATCCTATTTAACAGAGGCAAGGTGCCTTTTGCTACCTGGAGTGGAACTGTGCTGGCTTCAAATTTGCAGCCTTCTAGCAGACAGCCAAATTCAGGATTTGCTATATTTTCTCCTAAATTTTTAAATCGTCAAGGATGGATGCTTCTGATGTCACAAGATAGGAATGACATTTTTGATTATAAAGGAACAATTAGTACAAAAAATACAGGTGAAATTGTTGGTATTTGTTCTGAAGAAAACAATGGAAATATTGAATGGACTTATGGGAGTTTTCCTTTAGAGGAGTATGTGAAGGCACTTGAACGATCTAAAGGAGAGTTGTATTATAACCATTCCCTTGGGATGCAATACAGCAAGGTAAATTACTCATGAATTCTCTCCCATTAGCATGATTTTAAATTTCATGGAACCTTTTTTTTCCATCAACAAATTCAGTTTACAAATTTCAAATTCTCTGATGATTAGTTGATGTGTTGTTGATTGTTAAACATATATTTCTTAATAATATGATTCCTTTGATAGTATTATCTAGGCAATATTTCATTGTTCTTTTATCATTCCACTTCTCTAATTAAATATTTTCGGAGTAATTATTTTAGATACAAGAAGGGGTTTTGAACATCTGAAATATATAGTTTATTAAATAGGGAATTAAAAAGAAAGGTTCGTGTGGGATGTCATTTATGCATTAATGCTTGTTAACATGTACATTCCTATTTATAAGGTTTGGCTGTTTTTTCACCAAACTTGATAATGAGAGTTTCAGAGAATTTAGGAATGACAATTTCATGAAAGGGCAAACTGTGATTATTAAGTTGTTGTATGCTTTTGAAAACTCCATTTTGGTTTTCAGGTTCTATATGTTTTTGATGATGTGAGTTTGTGCTGACAGTGCCCATCCAGGGTATATTGAGAATTTCCAAGAAATTATCCACCTTCCTTTCCGTGATAAATTTGCCCTTAAACGTGCCTACTAGTTTTAATAGTGTCCTTTCTCCACTATATTCTACTAAACAGAAACACTTCAGATATCTTTCTAAGCTCAAAATCACGCTGAATGAAAATTTCTTAGACTTATAGTTATTGGGTTTTAGCAATGAAACTGAGAAGATTATTGAAACCTACTTTACATCGACACAGTAATTTCATCACTTAAAGCTTTGTATTGATATGATCATTGTTCTGACTGTAATAATCCGAACCATGGCAGCCGAAGAAGCAGCCGATTCGTTTACCTTGAATCACATAAGCAGAAGCACTCTGTTGATTTGAGAAAGAAAGGAGTCGTCGTCATTTCATTTCCATGAGAAAGACTAAGAGCTCTCTTGTCGGTTGGAGTCGCATAGGCCGAATGGAAAGGTGCGGCACTAGCTTCGTCTCTATAAATTAGAGAAGAGAGGGAGGAGAGCCAAAGAAGCAGCCGATTCGTTTACCTTGAATCACATAAGCAGAAGCACTCTGTTGATTTGAGAAAGAAAGGAGTCGTCGTCATTTCATTTCCATGAGAAAGACTAAGAGCTCTCTTGTCGGTTGGAGTCGCATAGGCCGAATGGAAAGGTGCGGCACTAGCTTCGTCTCTATAAATTAGAGAAGAGAGGGAGGAGTGAGACC